GAAGCTAGTCATCACCACCCACCGCCAACTCTTGGGCTACTCTTTTACCAACGAATAGTGGGATTGACCGTCACATTATAACGCCCCCTACGGCTGAAAGGGCGAGCATGTTTGGTGTGACAGGGATTCGAACCCGCGACCCTCTGATTGCGAGAGAGAAATACTTAATGATATTAACAGTTTTTAGTTTTGTTTAGAAGTTTTTATATATATAAGCAATTGATCACTGTTTAATATTATATAGAGGTACTTGATCACTGATGAATGTTATATAGAGGTACTTGATCACCGATGAATGTTATATAGAAGTACTATATCACTATTGAATGATAATTTTGATAAAAGAGTTAGCACAAAGGATCACACACATATAAAGTGTAATAGACTTAAAATAAGACCTAAAACTCGAATAGTTGACTATTCTTCTTCTTCTTCTTTGTTCTCCTGAAGAATGTTCTTCTAAAGATGCTTAGCATATGAGTAACACAGGTTTAGTTTATCATTGGTATTACAACTTTGAGCCTGGTCGTAGTTACGTAGTACAATAACGTAATTTCTAAGTTTAAGAGACCTACAACTATTTCCCGAGTGTAACGAATTTGTCGTTATGTATTTATTTTAATATGAGTGTTGTTTAAATTAAGTTTATATTTAAAAAACGTGCATAGCTTGTAGTGTTAGATATGTATTGCGAAACTCCCGCCTATTCTCCAAAGTTGTAGAAGATTCTCGAGAGTAGGAATCAACAATATATCTATATACGTAAACGTTTAAATATAGCTCAGTATTGTTATGTAATCTGAATTTTCTAGAAAACCTTCCCACGCCTATAAATACAACCAACGCGACGCGCCAAAGAGAGTGTCTATTAGTAGTTCGCTATAATCAGTGTGCTATAAACTTCGAAAGTTATAACTGTGATTTTTATAACGCTTATCAATCGGAAAACTTAAGATATTTGACCAGGAACATTTATAAATTTCGAACGTTACAAATCGTTTAAATTCAGTGGATTCTCATCGGACACTAGTATTTTTACGAACACATTACCTAACTTCAACGGATCGAAAATTCAGTTTGTGTGGCAAACGACAAAGCTAGCTAGCTTCCCGGTGAATCGTATCTACATCGACATGAAATTAACTCGCTCATCGTAAACCCTCGATAAGATATCAAGGGAGTTTCAAACTAAAAAGAAGACTTTATATTGTTTATAAGTTTGTGAAACTTTTGTTTATACATCTTTGTTTGCAGTAACTATTTGTAATAATTGTTATTGTAAATTGTATTGTTGTATGTATATTAAAATGTATTTGTGTTAAAAACGAAAACTGCGTGTACCAATCTTGTTGACAAATATCGTAAATTGACTAATATATCGGCATATATTTAAATACTAAATCCAAAGTACAACTTAACTACTAAATTTAAATTATCAGTTTACTCAGCTTCGGACTATTTGAAATTCTAATACGTAACACGAGATCTAATAATACTAGAACACATGTAATTCCTGAGATTTAGAAATCTAACAATATTAGAACACGTATATATATATAAACCAGAAACAACATAATAAAATTGAAACTCAAAACCACGCCTCCGCTACCATTCCTTGCTGTCGTCCTTAAGCCATGTAGAATACCGCCTGTAGTCATAGCACCCATATTGTTGGGAATATTCCATCTATCGGGCAAAATGCATACTCCGATGAAAAACTTGCCTGCAACTAAGGAAAATCAGTTCGGGGTTAAAAGTTGAGTGCTTGAGCCCACAACGTCTCAACTCCAACTGCTTTTCGCTCTCTGTAGCTAGTTGTGGGATGGCAGTAACCCTTAATATTTAGAAATAACTTTAATGTAGAATTAAACCAACGCGATAAAAATTCTACAAATTAAAACTCCCAACCTCCACGCTATTAATTAATTTTATAAATAATAATAATATAATATTCTTATAGTAGAACTAAGCCACCCTTAATTTCTACAGAACTCCAAACTTTTTATTTGATATTATGAAAGATGTTAACAAAATATGAGACTTTTACCTATCAAGCATAACCCGGGTGAGCTGATACGAGCCCAACTACTTAAGTTGATCTTTATATCGAACTATTCTAAAAGTGAAAATTAGCTACTTAAACCAAGTAACTAATGTCCTCTAAATTTCCCATAATGTATTCTGTGTGAACGAGAGCTTAACCCTTAATATAATTTCATATTTATTACAATAAAAGTAAACACAAAAATTTGAATAAACCAGTCCTGATACCCATTATTTTTCAGTTTATTTTTGAATTAACATTATGCATAAAAGAACTACTATTATTAAAACTTTTTTTAATTTAATAAACCCTTCTAACAATACCGACGGAACAACGCTGTTAGGGATAGATAAACCAAGGATGGGGAAATCAAATTCCTTTCTCTTATCAAAAATAGTCAACTGTCTTCTGCTAAATTAATGTCTATATCCAAATAATGAGCATGAATATCACCACTATTACTTCTTTTTATTATAAACTGATTTGGGTACATTATTCTTGGATCAGAAGGCATGTTATTGAGTGAAATTAAATCTTCTATATAACGAAAAATATACAAATATATATTAGGGTTTAAAAAGGAATATTCATAGAAAAACAGATACAGGTTGACCATGTTTGAAGAGAAATTAGTACCCATTGGAATACACACTGTTTGTTTATAAAGTTCTTCATTAAAGGTGATATAACTATTATAAGTACAAAAACTACGTGTATTTTTACATTGATATTTGGTCAATTTATGTCAAGAAATAATTATTTCTGCATCTATAAATTTCTCAAATAGGTAAGTGCCTCTTATTTTGGTTAGCATATTTTATGATATCAGATAAAAGGATGGCTTAGTTCTACCATAAGAATATTATATTATTATTATTTATAACATTAATTAATAGAGTGGAGGTTGGGAGTTTTATTTTAGATTTTTTTTATCGCGTTGGTTTAATTCTACATTAAAGTTCTTTCTAAATATTAAGGGTTACTGCTTTACCACAACTGGCTGCAGATAGCGAAAAGCAGTTGGAGTTGAGACGTCGTGGGTTCAAGCACTCAACTCTTAACCCTGAACTAATTCTCCTTAGTTGCTGACAAGTTTTTCATCGGCGTTTGGATTTTGCGTGATAGATGGAATATCTCCAACGCAATTTGGGTGCTATGACCACGTGCAATATTCTTTATGGCTTAAGGATGACAGCAAGGAATGGTAGCGGAGGCGTGGTTTTGAGTTTCAATTTTATTACGTTGTTCCTGGTGTATATTAAGTTCATTATTGTTTTATAGTGCTGATTTTAATCGCCTGTGAACAATTAATGTATTGCATAGCATTGTATATACTGATTTATATATGTATATATATATAGTTCCCGAAGTCCAGGGATTTAACGATTCTAAAACACGTATACTTTCAGGGATACTAGTAAATATGCAACTTCTGCGGTATACGCATACTGTAACGGGTATATTACCTGTTGTTGATTTCTAATAATACCATAAAATATGCAAGACTTGATATTTAGGCTTTTGAGGATACTGTACCTTTTATAATTCACTTTACTTAAGAACGTCGTAAACATTGGAGCGCGAGCTATATATTGCTTTCATTTTTGAACTACACATTTTGTATTAGTTAAAGCCTAATGCTTCATATATACCACAGCTGTGTAGTTATGGGTGTTTTGTGGTTATGTAGTTTATAGCCTAATGCTTCGTAAATACCACAGCTGTGTAACTATGGGTATTTTGTGGTTATGTAGTTTAAAGCCTAATGCTTCATAAATGTTACAGCTGTGTAACTATGGGTATTTTGTGGTTATGTAGTTTAAAGCCTAATGCTTCATAAATGTTACAGCTGTGTAACTATGGGTATTTTGTGGTTATGTAGTTTAAAGCCTAATGCTTCATAAATACTACAGCTATGTAACTCTGGGTATTTTGTGGTTATGTAGTTTAAAGCCTAATGCTTCATAAATACTACAGCTATGTAACTATGGGTATTTTGTGGTTATGTAGTTTAAAGCCTAATGCTTCGTAAATACCACAGCTGTGTAGTTATGGGTGTTTGGTGTTTATGTAGTTTAAAGCCTAATGCTTCATAAATATTACAGCTATGTAACTATGGGTATTTTGTGGTTATGTAGTTTAAAGCCTAATGCTTCGTAAATACCACAGCTGTGTAGTTATGGGTGTTTGGTGTTTATGTAGTTTAAAGCCTAATGCTTCATAAATGTTACAGCTGTGTAACTATGGGTATTTTGTGGTTATGTAGTTTATAGCCTAATGCTTCGCAAATACCACAGCTGTGTAGTTATGGGTGTTTGGTGTTTATGTAGTTTAAAGCCTAATGCTTCATAAATATTACAGCTGTGTAACTATGGTTATTTTGTGGTTATGTAGTTTAAATCCTAATGCTTCGCAAATACCACAGCTGTGTAGTTATGGGTGTTTGGTGTTTATGTAGTTTAAAGCCTAATGCTTCATAAATGTTACAGCTGTGTAACTATGGGTATTTTGTGGTTATGTAGTTTAAATCCTAATGCTTCGCAAATACCACAGCTGTGTAGTTATGGGTGTTTGGTGTTTATGTAGTTTAAAGCCTAATGCTTCATAAATGTTACAGCTGTGTAACTATGGGTATTTTGTGGTTATGTAGTTTATAGCCTAATGCTTCGTAAATACCACAGCTGTGTAACTATGAGTGTTTAGTAATTATGTAGCAATGAAAATTGTT